TGTTTCTTATAATTGAATCAACTGCGCATGTCCTTGCTTGAGTCTGTGTTTACGTCCTGACAACCGAGGACATATTTATACAGTTCGTCATCGAATCTCGAATCGACATGAAGCGCAAAGCGGCATAATATATTATTAATTGTAAAAAGCGCGGAATCTAGTGAGCCATGCTTCTAACTATTAATTTAAACAAAAAAAGCTGATTCACGTATAATATATTTCGGTATTTATTTTATTATTTTTATATATGTAGTGTAGATGCGGCGCTTCCAAATACCTTATCCGGAATTTCATGTTAAGTAAACTTTTGGTTAAGATATTTAATAAACTAAAGCCGTAATAAAAAATCTAAAGACACTTTTATTATCAAATGTGAATATAAGCTTTCGATTGCGACCTGTTTGAATAAAATCGGTGCAGTCAATCCTGAGAAATGATGATCGAATATCAGAATTGTGACATTTCTCGTTCTTTTCCTTTTCTTTTTCTTCATTTTCAGAAACTCACATACATATGCTCGCACGCACATATACAGTTTGTCCCTCAAGCGGCGTTCACATTGCTGCGTATATTGTTGCGATTATTGCTTCGATATGTACAATGCTTTAAGTGACAAAATATGTGTGCATATGCGTATGTATGTGTGATATGTATATGTATGTGTGTACGTACGTATGAAAGATAAATTTATCAAAGCATAGTGCAGAATAGTGTTACAAGGAATAGAAGTGACACATTAAGCAGTCGGGTTACTTTTTTAAAAACACAGATTTTAAGAAATAAATATCGTCGCTGAGTAATTATCGCATTGTCGCATCGTGTAGTAACTTGTCCGTGCGTGTTTCTTTTATCGAGTGATTTTTAGGTGCCAACAGTTATTATTCGACAGTGATTAATAGTGATTAGTGATAGAGTCATTATTAAATTTCTCGTCTCGTCGAGTGAGTAAATAAATGTGATTATGTTAAAGTTTATAAAAGAATGCAATTCATGAAAGAAGAAAAACTTTCAGTTAATAATTTAGTGTGGATTTCTGTCTTGTGCAACGTGATATCTACGTTAAATCTGAGAACGTACGATCTATCGGAAAATTTATTTCTTCTTCAAGTAATTACAGCAATACATCAGAAGTCATCGAACAAGGTAATAACTATTTTTTGACATTATGTGAAAACGGATCTCGGAAAGGACAGAGGGACAGTGTGTCTAAGAAAATTCGTGAAAAGAGAGGGGTTTTTAGTGGGTAGGGAATACCGAGTTGGTAATTCGACTTGGTACTCGAGTCCCACATAACTCACTGGATCGACCGGTAGGTATGCATAAAATGCATTTTCCCCTCTCTCGTAAAAAAAAAAATTACAGATGAGTGAGAGAATGAAAGAGAGAGAGAGAGAGAGAGAGAGAAAGAGAGAGAGAGAGACAGACAGACAGACAGACAGACAGACAGCAGACAGAGAGAGAATGTATGTGTTCGCATGTGTGTCTGTATGTGTATAGCTACCAGCTGATCGCAGCAGACGCCCCGCGTAAGCGCCCACGTCTGATGGGCTTCGCGTCACCCTTGCCTGCCTCTTGTATCCGACCCGTCATGCATTAACTACTTTCTTTCATAATTCGAAAACTAAGCTTCGGACGAAATTTTGCAAAAGGAAAAATCGTCTTAGAATTGACTCAACAATGTGTCATTTCACGGACACAGGGGTTATTTTGAATCACCCTATATATATATATATATATATATATATATATATATATATATATATATACAGGGTGAGGAAAAAGTACCGGGACACCTGAATAACTTCTGAACGGTTTGAGATATCGGATTGAAATTTACAAGGTTACAATGGTATCACACAATCTATCACATAACATCAAAAACGCCCATTTTGACACCCTCGGGGGGCGGGGGGAGGGAGGGCGAGAAAATTTTAAATGGAATGTAGGGTCGAGTGACGGTTCGTTTGAAAGAGCTTTTCGAGATGAGAACAACGCGATGTCGCCGAGGTCTCTACGATTTTTTTTCGCAGAGTTATGATCATTTAAATATTGAGTTTTCGCAGTAGCGGAGGGCCCACGACGAGGACGTGAGAAAGACTTTCCGCGGACACGTGTGGATAAAATTGCATGTAGGAAGGCATGTGGGGTGTGCGTGCTTGCGCAGTAATTAACGACTCCAAACCACCTCTGCTGTGTGCGTGCGTGTGTGTGTGTGTGTGTGTGTGTGTGTGTGTGTGCGCGCGTGCGTGCGTGCGTGCGTGCGTGCGTGTGTGTGTGTGTGTGTGTGTTTGGGTGCGTGTGCGTGTGCGTGATACAGTAAACTGTGATGAATGTTCAATGAATTAACTCGGGAAGCGATAATCGAACAGAACTTGGGTACGATCTGAGATTGAAATCAATTTTAACCGCGTTCGTGATCCAAACTTCGAGGAAGAACCTGGAAACGAAAAATTGAGAGCAAATGTGCTATCGATAAATGGCACTGTTACGGTTTTGGGAATAATTCATGCACACGCACACCCACCCACCCACACACACACACACACACACACACACACACACACACACACACACACACACACACACACACACAGCAGCAGCAGCAGCAGAGGTGGTTTGGAGTCGTTAATTACTGCGCAAGCAGGCACACCCCATGCCTTCCTACATGCAATTTTATCCACACGTGTCCTCGGAAAGTCTTTCTCACGTCCTCGTCGTGGGCCCTCCGCTACTGCGAAATCTCAATATTTAAATGATCATAATTCTGCGAAAAAAAATCGTAGAGACCTCGGCGACATCGCGTTGTTCTCATCTCGAAAAGCTCTTTCAAACGAACCCTCACTCGACCCCACATTTCATTTAAAATTTTCTCGCCCTCCCTCCCCCCGCCCCCCGGAAGTGTCAAAATGGCGTTTTTGGTGTTATGTAATAGATTGTGTGATACCATTGTAACCTTGTAAATTTCAATCCGATATCTTAAACCGTTCAGAAGTTATTTAGGTATCCCGGTACTTTTTCCTCACCCTGTATATATATATATATGTATAGTGTGTGTGTGTGTAGAAATTTACATATTTGACTACGCAATCATAATTATAATTACATAGACATTTATTACATTTGTCTGTGTAGATATAAATATAATTAACAAACTTAAATTAAACTTTTATGGTTATTATATTATTTACTTATTATTATACTTTATTATTATTATTATTTACTTATTATATACATCTGTTTAAGTTTTTGAATTTTTAACTTCTTTTTTTTCTCTTTAAACCTAGTAATGGCTAAATTTCGTTTAAGATAGAAATCTAATACAATGACAGAATTGCAGCATGTCTTATTTCAATTTAATTTGAACTTTTAAAATTTTCTTTGCTTCTTCATATGTGAAACACAATTTTATTTTATAACAAAGAATTATGCAATAATAATGAAATTTATAATAGTCAACATGTAATGATAAAAACTTAATTAAATCAATAATTTTTACGTGTAACATATAGTAATATATCGAATACCAATTAATAAATGATTTAGTAGTACAAAAGTGTAGTTGGCCTCGAAGTACTAAAAATGCATATATATTTTTTGCAGAAAAGATATATAAATAAATTTTACAAAAAGGTAGGAAATCAAAAAAAAATTTTATAAGGGTAAAAAAATACACCAAATAAAAAATATTCCATCTGATATACAACAAAACGTTTAATAAAAAAATATCCTTGTAATAAGTAATTTATAAAAATTTTCCTTCAAAAAATATATATAATTTTCCCCCAAAAAAATCAAAACTAAATATAAAATCAATAATTAATTAGCCAAGTACATTAAAGCAATTGATATGGATTTGTAATTTGAAATATTTGTCACAAATTCAATTTTGCATTTATGTGTTAGATTTTCGACAAAATGAAAATGATTTTCAAAATAAGTTCCAAATAAATTTGGAACTAAAAGATTAAAACCAAAACGACTTACAAAAACTTGACATGCTCGGGTCATATTATAATTCACATATTTCTATAATTGAAATTAATTACAGGTATATAATTCGCAAACTTTGTAAAATTATATGTACTATAATGTGACCCGAGCACGCTAAGTTTTTGTAAGTCGTTTTAATCTTAATTTTTTTAGTTCCAAATTTACTTGGAATTTATTTTAAAAATCATTTTCATTTTGTCGAGAATCTAATACATAAATGCAAGATTGAATTTGTGACAAATATTTCAAATTACAAATTCCTATCAATTGCTTCAATGTACGTGGTTAATTAATTAATTGATTTCATATTTAGTTTTGATTTCTTTAGAAAAATTATATATTTTTTGAGGGTAAATTTTTATAAATTATTTATTATAAGGATATTTTTTTATTAAACGTTTTGTTGTACATAAAGAATCCTAAATCTTTCATAATTGGACAGTTCAAATATGAAATAGTTGAGTATCCAAATGAGCGAAAATCATCAGTCTTTTACATCTATTTGAGATGTAAAATAGAAATCTAATTTCCATATAAATAAAATTGAGTTTTATGAATTAAATTGTTTAAATTTTATTAATTATTTGTTATTTATTTTTAATTATATTACCAGAAACATTTATAAAATGATGTCATGGAATAATGTTAAAATATATTAGTATCTTTTGTAATATCTAAGAATCGTTGATGTGCCAGTATTCTTAATGATAAATCAATGATGAATTTTCGTCAAGTTGTTACCAAATCTCTATATGCCGGTAACAAATCGATGTATACATATATCGATAATCGATGTAATACTATCAATTGTTTAATTACTATCAATTTGCCGTTTTTGGAATTAGAATGTATATGAATTCAACCCAACAACATAATGCTATCGCATCTTGCCCTTAGTGTCCTTAATTATTACTCTCTAAATTATTACTATATTATTTCAACAATTGTTGACAACATAACAACAAACTTACAAACAATTAGCTATCTCTGTTACAGAAATCTTAACTTACATCAAAAGAGAGTTTGCCGATGTTGTTCCAAGCGAAAGTGCGCGGTATTTCCTCTTCAGTATAAATACGCACTCCACGGGCACAGATCGCCAGAAGTATACGTCCAGGTCCCACCTCATTCTTGCTTCGACGTAACCGATATAAATGAGCATTGAGCGGCGTCTCCAATAATATTGCTTTCTGAATATACTGTAACTCCGCCTCCTCTCTAGACAGTCCATTGTTTTCCTTATGTTGGACTGTGAGCACAGCGAGTACGTTCGACTCAAGACACATCTGAGAATGTTCGTTTAATCCATGAAAAACCATAATTAAAATGAGAAACTTCAAGTTAAATTCATAATTATTTTTATTTTATAAAATCTCGGATGTAATAACACAAGCCTGCGAAAGTCAATTACAAAAAAGCAGAGTAGGTGAATTTGATAGATTTTCTTATGTTGAAAACGAATCTACAACCGCAGAATTTCCCCAACACGTCAGACTTCCGAGTAATTTATTGTTAAATAGTCCAAAAATGGCAATTTCGGCAATTTCATAAATTTATTATGAAAGAACCAAATTTTTTAAAATATTTCTGTCAATGGCATCATATAGTATTAGTCTTCATCTTTGAAATCCATTTTCGATTGTCGTTGATTTTTTTCGCTGAAATATACAATTATGAAGTTATAAGAAAATTTACACATAAACATTAATGCAGATCCGGCATCTTGAAATTTGATGAGTATTACATATGTCAAGTTCGATTGTCCAAAAAAGTTCTGTAAAATATATCTAATACAATTGTTACGTCCGATGGACGTGTCCAATGGATGTGTCGTGATTCTTTTCTTTCTTCGGAATACAAAGACTATACGATAACTATGTGCGCGGGTAACTCTCGGTGATATAATAAGGAAGTGAAAAATAATAAATAAGCCTAGACTACGCAGATAACTTGTCGTTATACATAAAAATTTCACTATAATAAAGAACTATAATAAAATTGAACTCGCACATTTTTACAATTGGGACGTCCGTTAGAACCATTGGAACTCCAGAAATAAAGCGATCCTTCTTAAGATTTGTGCCAACGATAAACATATGTATATCTAATCCTTGCAGCGGATATCTGAGACCGAAAGACTCGAAACAATAAATAGACCGGAAAAGCTAGAACTAAGGATGGCCAATCGTTGGAACTTAGAAATCTTAAACAAAATGGGAACTAGAGCCGCAATAAAATTTTTATAGCGCTCCACATGTGGAGCTATGAAATTAGAAACCTTTCAGGTCTGCAGTACCTTAAGCGGGCAATCAAAAAAAAGGGAAAACTAAACAATCCGTCTAGTCACCCTTAAGTATTAGTCGAAACGCGAAAAAACTCTCGCAAGCCATAAAATCTGTCCGTTAAGCTCCCACTCTCAGTTGGATGGAGCCAAATCTTGAACCAAAGGACCTATTAAAATCTTAGAACCGCCTTTTCCTCCAAAATCAGCCTCCTTGTCCTTAAGAAAGGGATAACTAAAATTATCTCATTCGCCCAAAAAAGATTCCCACCATCCAGAAGGGAAGAGGAGCAAAACCTTAAAACTCGCGAGCCGAAGGCGCAGACACACAGTTACTATTAAAATTTTTACTCCAGTATATACTCTTCCGGTCAGTACTAGTAGTCTTATTACCATCTACCTACCATATTCCTCGGCTTTACACTTTACTCTTTCGGCAGTTTTATACATACAAAAATTATCTTCTTCTAAAATACGACGTCTAAGTTCACGTTAACTAAAGTAAAGTGAGTGAGCGGTACACATTGGACCACCCGAACCCTTCTAGGTCATCGACCAAGATTAGCTCCCAGCCCTGCGTTTCCAGCTCCGGGTTAAGTTTAATTCACAACGCTCGCTATAATTAGTAAATCCAATCTGACTTTACCCTTTCACCTTTTCTCGCGTAACTGATTGTCATTGGAAATGATTCTTGATTATCTTAATCAATAGATAAAATAAACAAATCAGGAACATCCATCTCTGAGAAATAAATTCAACTACTCGATAATTATTAAATTTTTTCTGCCTTTATTCCCTTTTCTTAATCCTCTTCATAATGTGTTCGCCTCGAATCTCCGCAAGGCGGTTCGCGAACAATTCCTAATCCGAATTGAGTCTCTGAGAGCTGATTCTCCTTTTGAGCTCTTTTAAATTTTGAAATCTTTTCTTGAAGCCATTTCTGAGGTATGTTATTTCCTTTCGTTTCTCTTCTATTTATTATTTAACCATCCCTTATTTATACGATTAGTTTAACTTTAAGTAAAATCTTTCGGGACGAGTTATTATTTTATCTGAAGCATCTTTTCCCAATGACAACATTAATAGAATAAAAAAATAGCTAGTTTAACACAACCTTGTAAACTACCCCTCGTTCAGCGTCGAATTATTATTAGTACCTCACGGTAAACGGCGAGCAACGTTGCGGCGGCAGAATCGTCAGAATGAACGCTCGAGAGAGAGATAGCTTCAACTTAATTTAACGGAACCCCCTAATGGCGATAGTCTAAATAATATCAATACTGATTCGGCCGCTAACAATATAACGATACAACTCGATACTAACACACTCTTCTAACCCCTCTTCTGCATCCCCTATCCCGAATATTCTACAGTCTCTTCCCCAGACTATCCCTCCTCCCGCTGTACACCTATTCCGGGCCCCGTGGCCTCTCCTGCTTCCGGCTCCAGACCTCCCCTACTTCCGGCCCCAGACCTCCTACTCCGAGTTCATCGGAACTTACATCTCCCCCTGCTACTCCCTCTACTCTTTATTTTAGAACCCTCTTCTTTGCCTTCACCCTCATTAGAATCTCCCTCTCCCTCCCCCATATCTGTTATTACCCTAGACTCAGATCTTCCTTCATCTTCCATCCCCGGAGTCATCAGAATTCTGAGGGTCTGGAAGATTTCGCAAGAAATCTTCCCGATCTTGAAGAAGACTCCCACTTTCCTGCCGATTTCCCGTCGGAACGTCCTTCCCATAACGAAACACCTGAACCTTCCCGATCCTTTAGAGTATTTCGTATCTCAGTTCCCCTTCCTCGATCTCCCTATAGAAACATTCTGCGTGGGCCCAAGCCCAATTAATCACCAGGAATTATTTAATCTCATAATCATTGCTCCTTCCAATTCTGTCATTCCTTGGTACTTCTCGGGTTATCAACTCCCCTTAACTGTCCCTATCCAAGCCCTCTGGAGGAGGTTTCCCTCCTTCCACAGTTAGAATCGAAGATCTTTGACCCCTCTCCTCTCCTCCTCCCTAAATAAATTTGTACATAATTCCCCGCTCCCTGCAACACACACACACACACACACACACACACACACACACATCTGCAAGCGACAAGTTATTCACATTTTTATTATACATTCACCTTTTATTTATTTTATTTTTTATATCGTATTAATTACATGTATATTGTATTAACCAGTCAGAATCTAATTCTTAACGTAAATTTTTCCCTATATATTTTGACTGATGACCTCCGAACGACTGTAACACCCGCGAGAATATACATATACACTCACAGACATCCACTTACGCATATCTACCACTGTTAATATGCATTTTTCTTTCGTTATTTTTCTATAATATACGTATTTTTTTATTTAATGCATAATTTAATTATTTAACCCGTTCTCTATCCTAAATTCTGAGATCGCACTAGGTGCTGCGTAACAAGGATTAAATTCCTTTACCTAAAAGGGATCACCCCACGAATAGGCTTAAAAGCGCAGCGTTAAAGAGACCTTCGATCGCTGATCAGGCCCTTCACATTCGTTCGACCCGATCCATACACACGACCGAATAAAGTGTGTCACGGGGTAAGTAAGTTATGTTTCTTCTTTACGGCCCATCCTTTCCAGGGTCTGGCTGTAACACAATTGTTACATATTTTGATAAATTTCTCTATATTTTATACCTTTTTATTATAATTCTGTTCATTATGTTAGATGCGCCATTTTTTATTTCAAAAAATCACAAGCGGTTCAAAAATTTATGATTTTACTCAAATTTTGATTTGTGATAAGAGAAGTATGTTGAATTGAAATCGCTTATTATAGAACACTATGCATGCCAATCTTATAATTTATATATCTCAGCGAAAAAAAATCATATGGCAATTAAAAATGGATTTGAAAGATGAAGATTAATACTATACTAATACTATATTATGCCATTAGCGGAAATATTTCAAAAAATTAGATTTCCTCATAATAAATTCATTAAATTTGCCAAAATAGCCGAAATATTTTTAGACTATTTACTACAAATTACTATTTATAACTACTTATAACTACTAAACAACCTGATATGCTAGAGAAATTCTATGGCCAGATTCGTTTTCAGCGTCAAAAATCTATCAGATTCACCTACTTCGCTTTTTGTAACCAAACCTAAAATTTCGCAGGCCTATGTAATTAAATATTTTTGGATATCTTAATAAATATCTTTGATAATTATACAAATCAGTTTTAATGGCAATACGAGTCAAGTGATCATCATTATTTAAGATGGCACACTTTGTAATTGACTCTGATATAAAACCTTTCGTTATTTTTTTATCACATCATCATATTTGCGCTGAAGATGGTCCAAAAATAGTGTCGAAACATTCGCAAACTTTTCTTTGTAATTTGTTCCATACTTATTTAATTGTATAATAAATAACTGTATTATAAGATCGACACTTGACTCGTATTGCCATTAAAACTGATTTGTTTAATTTTATATTTTGAGTCTTATATTTTTTTATTAATTCTAATAATTATGCTATTAAAAAGGCCCACCGTCGCACAAATGTGTCATTGATATAGTTAAGGTTTCTGATTAACATTTGAGAAGGTTTTAGCCGGTGGTCGTTCTTTATTTAAAAGTTATTAATAAATAAAGATGAGAATTATTAGTTAAGGTAATGAAGAGTTACTGCACAGAATCTTTTTTAAGCTTATATTAAAAGATAGGTTATGATGAGAACAATTTGAAGCATATCACTCTCACTTCTTAATTCCTATTTCAAATAGAGTTATAGGTGAAAAACTAAAATCACTTCAAATGCGTATTTTTGCATTGATCTCGATAAGTAGAACTAGGAACTGTTGCTCTATATGAAACTATAAAAGATATAACAAATTAAATTCAAATTCTCTACATTTGTCAACATTTATCCATCCGATTTGTAATGTCTCACTACATGCATCCATGCATGCACTATGCAAAATGAAGCAAAGTTCATTCTACAT